CACCCCCACAACCTTAATTAGCCCACCACTTTGATACGATGACCCTCCATGAACCCACCTGGCTCATGGACACCGACGCCTCTAATCATATTGCTTTAGATCCAAGTACTATTTCTCGTGTTTGTTTACAAAGTAAGAATTCTCCACATTTTATCACTGTTGGTAATGGATCAAAAGTACGCAATACGGCTATATGTAAACACACCTACCCCACCTCCCAACCCCTTTCCCTTAACAATATTCTTGTTTCCCCTCATATCATTCATAACCTTATTTTCGTTCGTCAGTTCACTCATGACAATAATTGCACTATAGAATTTGACTCTAACGGTTTTTCTATGAAGGATTCTCAGACGTGAACCGTGATTTAATATTGCAATAATGAAGGCCCTCTCTATCCTCTGCGCCTACACGACTCCACCACTTAAGCCCACGTTGCTTCTGTCTCTCTGCAAACGTGGCATCGACGTCTTGGTCACCCTAGTCCTGCAGTTCTAGATAGTGTTCCTTATTTATCTTCTTTTTCTTTTAATAAACAACTTCAACATCATTTATGTCATGCTTGTCAATTAGGGAAGCAGGTTCATCTTCCTTTTACTTCTTCCGCTAGACTTTCCCATTTCCCCTTTCAATTAATGCATACTGATTTATGTCAATCACCTGTTTCTAGTGTCACTGGTTTTAAATTTTATACTCCCTCCGTCCTATAATGATCTTCCCATAGCACTATTCCAACTTCACAGGAATTTATATTTATTTGTGTTTTTTCATGGCCTATATGATAAAATAAAATATTCTTGTCACCACTTGTTTTGTTGAACTTTTGGTGTAGTTTTTAAATATGTATGTTTTATTTTTTATTTCTATACCAATATTTAAATAAAATAGATTGAAAAAACTTGGGATTTTTCTTCGTTTTGCGAACTGGGAAGATCATTATATATAGGACGGAGGGAGTATGTTTCTTCTAGATAATTATTCTCACTAATGGGTTTTTCCACTACGACATAAATCTGATGCTTTTTCTCACTTAACCAACTTTGTTTCTTATGAACCAATTTAACAAAACCATCAAATCTGTACAATGTGACAATGAAACGGAATACAGAAACACGCCCCTCCAAAATATGTTTAACTCTCTAGGAATACTATTCCGCTTCTCTTGTCCTCACACCAGCCAACAAAATGGCCAGGCGGAACGCACAATTCGCACCGTGAACAACACTGTCCGAACTCTGTTATTTCAAGCCCAACTACCTTCTGGCGTGTCATCTCTTTAATCTTCTACCCACCACCACCCTCCAACAACGCACTCCTCATGAAGTTCTCTTCCAAACACCACCCAGTTACTCACAGCTTTGTGTCTTTGGCTGTCTTTGCTATCCAAACACCTCTGCAACCGCCCCTCACAAACTATCCCCGCTTTTGGCCCGGTGTATTTTTCATAGTTATCCATCCAACCAACGGGGTATTCGATGCCTAGACCTCACCGGCTACTAATAAAATAATTAGGTGCCTAGACCCCCCTCACCAAACTATTCGGTACTCGTTCCTCACCAGATTTTCTTCGGGCCTATTCCGATGCTAACTGGGCCGGGTGCCCAGACACACGACATTCAACCTCTGGCTCATGGTCCTCTAAACGGAAACAAACCACCTCTAGATCCAGTGCTGAGGCTGAATATATAGCGGTTGCAAATGCCGTGGCAGAAACCAGTTGGATACATAACCTACTTCTTGAGCTTTTTCAACCTCGCTGTGCCAAACCACTGTCATCTTCTATGATAACGTCACTGTCGTCTACCTATCCTCCAACCCTATCAAGCACCAACGCACCAAGCATGTGGAGGTTGATATTCACTTCGTACGAGACAAGGTCGCTTTAGGACATGTTCGTGTTCTTCATGTACCATCTTCTTTATAGTACGCCGACATCTTTACAAAAGAATTACCATCACTTCTCTTCACCGACTTGAGACAAAATCTTGGAGTACGCAGTTCACCAACGGAGCTGGTAGCATGTTAAATATGTAAAATATATATTCCATATTTAATATTATTATTATTATATTTGGTAGAATCCTTGATTGTATAGGATTTACACTTAATACTATTTCCTTTCCAATATACCTCTAACTTGTATATAAGGGAGGTGATTTACAAGTAATCATTATCAAATATTGTAATTCTTCAGTTAAAGAGGGAGGTCTGAGCTTTACTAAAATGCAGACTATGGTGGATGCTTGTAGTGCTAAGTTGTGGTGGAACTTAAGAACAACCAACACCTTATGGACTCAATTTATGAAAGCCAAATATTGTCAGAGAGTCCATCCTGTGGCAAAGGTGTGGCAATATGGTGAATCTCATATATGGAAAAGGATGGTGTTTATTAAAAACCTTATTGAACCCTATATTTTTTGGAAGATATATGATGGTTCCTTGAGTTTTTGGTGGGATAATTGGACAGGTCTTGGTGCTTTAGCTCGTGTTACCAACCAGGGGAATGGGAGATTTCTTCTTGCTCCTTTGAAAGATTATTTGATGAATAACAATCTAAATTTAGCCCAACTACAGCAACTTATGGATCCAGGTTTTCTTTTCCATTTTAATGTGGATCGGTCAGGGTTGGGGGCCAACAGATTTGATCAAGCCATTTGGAAACCCAGGCCTAATGGTCTCTTTACACTTAAGGCTGCCAAACATTTGTTGGGCTGTAGTGGGCAGGCATCTATGCAGCTTCAAAAATGTTGGAACACACATATTCATTTTAAGGTGTGCTTTCTATGTTGGAGATTATTGCTTGGGAAACTTCCTCTGGATTCCAGCTTGCAAAAATTTGGTTACAACCTGCCTTCCAAGTGCTTGTGTTGTAATACTCCTTCTTCTGAAACTACCCAGCATGTTTTCTCCCCTCAATATGTATGGCAATACTTTTATGACATCTTTGGTCTATTTAATATGGCTTCTTCAGTCACACAACATTTAGAGACTTGGTGGGGTTCACAAACACATTCTAATAAGCCTACTGTGAGAGCTTATTTGCTGCAATGTATTCTGGTACTTATTCTTTGGGAACTATGGGTTCACTATGCTGCACTTAAGTATGGAGAAGGGCAAGTCAATGTTGCAAGAGTTATTTTTAAAGTTAGGAGGGGGGGCAATTGTGTTTGTATGACATCATTGCGTGACTTTGGCATTTGCTTTGTGCCTCCGGTCATTTCTTGCTTACTTAGTTTTGTGTTGTTTCGACCTTATTGTGGCATTGGTCATGCCTTAGACTAGTGATGTTACTAGTTAGGACCTTATTGTGGCTTTGGTCAAGCCTTAGACTAGTTGTTCTAGTTTGGACCTTATTGTGGCTCTGGTCAAGCCTTGTTCTAGGCTCCCCCACCCTTTCCCCAGTTATTGTACTCCCCGGAATGTTTGTCTTCCGTATGAAGGGCTGGCATTAGGCCTTGGTTTTAATTTGGTCCTCCCCTCACTTTGTGGTGATGAAAGTATCTTAATAAACTCGGTAAGGGTTGTCTATACCTCAACCCACCAAGCTTGGTGGTTTGCCCACTGGGATTTAAAAAAAATCTTGGGTTAATTATTAATTTTTAATTTGAAATTCTTATTAATTGCTATGAAATAGAGTGAATTAATGGTTCTATTTGTTAGGGTTACTTATTTGATTTGGATGAATTTATTTAAATTTATGATACTTCGTATATTTGTAAATAAAAAACTGAAAACTAAAAAAATTAAAGAAAAAGAAAAAAATAAAAAAACTGAAAAATTGATGATTTGATAGGAATTTATGATATATAAAAAAAATTAAAACTAAAAAAGAAAAAAACAATTGACGAGAACTTCTCGAATCCTTGTCTAGCTTTTACGGTATGTAATTATAATATGATTACTTCTGTCCGAGTGTATTTGTCCAGTTTGACTTTTTTGAGTCAAACTGGACAAACTTTGAACTTCAATTACTCTTAATTTATATTGCATATAAGCATAATGAAACACAATTTGAAAGTTCTCAATACGATAAGTCTAATAAAGTCATTTTTATGTTAAATACATTACGATTTTTATTTAATTGAAGCTCAAAGTTTATCTAGTTTGACTCGAAAAAGTCAAACTCGACAAATATATTTAGACGAAGGGAGCATAATATTTTCATTTATTTTTTTCTTCTAATAATATTACGTTAATTATAATTTAAATATAATTAGTTTACATATGTGAATTTGTTAGAACATTAAGGATAAGACTTTTAGGGCCTTTTTTCTGCAACGGCCCAGGTCGATGAATCCTCAGGACCGGCCTTGGAAAAAGAAAGGAGTTGGGAGAGGAAGTGTTGAGCGTTCAACGAAGAAAAAAGAAGGGGGTGGGATTTGACTTTCAAATGAAGAAGAAGAAGGTTGTTCATTGTGAAGAAGAAGAAGAAGACGAAGAAGAAGACGTCGAAAAAGGAGAAGAAGAAGAATTTTAAGAAGGAGGAGAGTAAGAAGAATTAGGAAAAGGAGAAGGACAAGGAGAAGATAAAGAAGAAAAAGAAGAAGAATATAATGATGAAGAAGAAGCCAAATACACCCTTGAAGACAAGGTAAAATAGGTTGTGGATCATAAAGAAGATAGGGGAGGAGCTGGAAAAGCCAAAGACATGAATGAAGACTTACAAATGGAAGAGGTGAATACACTAATGTTCAAATTGAAATTATTTATACACTCTTACAAGTATTTATTTTGTGTTGACCTTATTCCTTAGAATTTGGCGAGCGAAGCAGAATGCACTCAAGAGGAAGGTGAGAAGCTTGTCTAGAATGCTATGTATGATGTAAGTTTGTTAATATTTTATTATTCTAGGAACTACACTACTCTCTACCACTCTCTTTTGTATGACCGGACATGAATGACGACATTTATTTTATTTTGCATTCTACATATATGTTGTATCAAGATAATTTCATCAAAGAGTACGTTATTGCTTCTTTAACTCGTGACCTGTTGAGCTTGTATATGATGAGCAGGTGTGTCTATTTTATTGGCTTATGTAAAATTTCATCAATTATATGTACTATTAATTTTTTATGTCATTTTGTATGATGTATATGCACAAGTGATAAAGGATATGGATGTGTTTGAACAACAGCCTTCTCCAATGCACCCAAAGAAGGATTTGGGTACCAGAAAATGCTAGCAAGAGGGTGATCATATCACCTTGGAGGAAGGTTCTTCGTTTCGGCAAGAGGGGGAAACTGAGTCCCCGTTTCATCGGTTCCTATCCTGTCACGGCAAGGGTGGGCCCTGTTGCTTATCAGTTGGAACTACCTCCTGAGTTTAGTAGAATCCATAATGTGTTCCATGTCTCCATGCTTCGTCATTACGAATCCGATCCTACGCATCGAAAACCTGAAGGGGCAGTCACCCTTGATGATAGCTTAAGTTTTGAGGAGAAACCCGTGCAGGTCCTAGCACGAGAGGTGAAGGAACTGAGAAATCAAAGAGTGCCTTTGGTCAGGGTACTATGGCGTAACCACACAGTAGAAGAAGCTATTTGGGAGACCGAAGAATCTATGAGAGCGCAGTACCCATATCTTTTTAGTGCTGACAGTCCAGGTAATTTCGAGGAAAAAATTTTCCTAAGGGGCAGAGGAATGCAACACCCTAAAACCTGGCTTAGTATTTAATTAATTAAAATGATTAATTAATTACTAAGACGGACTGAAATGAGTCTATTTATGGAAATTTCCTTTTTAATGTGTGAAATTAACCGATGTTGCAGATCTTGCTCTTCTGAATCCGATCACGCAAACAAATCGTGAAAGGGAGTTAGTGAGCTCAAGTTAAAAGTGACGGACTAGGTCGTTGAGTCTAAACTAATCCTAATTGTATTAGAACGTGATAGTTGGACCCTAAATCTATTAATACTCGTATAACCTACCATTACGAGATTTCTCTCCTTCCTGTCCGTAGACAATCTCTCTCTCTCTCTCTCGTTCCTGATTCCCATTCGACAGCCAATTGGAGTTATCCTTCAATTTAATTTTAATTTGCAACGCTAATTATACTTGTTTTTGGGATAAAAATATTATTTCACAATACAAATCGTGACCTTACTTCATTGACACTGATAAAGATAATAATTGTATTAAGAACAACATCGAAAATGCAACTAAATAATTTTTATGTCAGTGTTGGAAGAAGTTGAAAGAAACTAGGAGTTCAAAACACATAAAATAGAACGAAGTAGAATGGATTGAAAAAATTTCAAGTGTTGAAAAAATTGGAAAAAGTTGTTAAAAAAACTAAATGTTTGAAAAAAAATGGTGTTGGAAAATAAAGGAAGCTAAAAGCGAGAACCGGATAGAACAGAGTTAATATCTATGAATTTTTAATTTTGAAATATTTTTTAATATCAATATCAATATCAATCAATACTATTTTTAAAAGCAGAGGAATTATTTTCCCGCTCAATGCACCGTAATCCTGCACAGTCGATATCAATGTACGAAGAAGATCTGCTGCTATGATTTGTTGTGTAATATTACCAATTTAGAAGGATATATATTAAAGGAAACTTTTGACTAATTAAATGTTATGAATTGAATGCATTGTAACATGACTGAAAAGAAAGGAACGTAACTAATATGTTGACCAATTAAATTGTTTACTTGATTGTAATATTAAACTGATTTCAGGATTGATATATGGCCAATAAGGAAGGGACGGATTAAATGAATCAATCATTGTCGATTGTGAGCCGTTAATCTTTGAGTACATCATCATGATCTATGATTGATATAAAATATTACATTAATATGCACCTAAAGGAGTTAATAAATTAAAAATTGTAAGATTTGAAAAGAGAAATCCGAAAGAATGATTTATTTTCTTTCCATAATGGTAACAAAAATGGTAACAATTTTTAATTGGTAATAAAATAGGTAACAGTTTTTGTCTCCATCCGAATTAAGTACTGAAAGTACGAAATAACAAAAATGGTAACAATTTAGAAAAAGAAAACGGGAGCAAACCGTGAGTTATATTGTTTTTTATTTTTTTTCTTTTTTGTGAATAAAATCAGTAATAACGAACAAAATTAATCTACACCTAAAGGAGGAAATAAATTAAAAATGGTAAGATTTGAAAAGGGAAATCCAAAGGAATTATTTATTTTCTTTCCATCCGTACGTTTGTTTTTGTTTTAATCTTTTCTTACCATATTTGTGAATAAAAAATAACAAAAGTGGTAACAATTATTGTTTCCATCCGAATTAAGTAATGAAAGTAAGAAATAACAAAAGTGCTAAGAATTTAAAAAAGAAAACAACAGCATACCGTGAGATATAATGTTCTTTTTTATTTTTTTATTTTTAATAAAATTAGTAATAATGAACAAAATGCTAATAATGTAAAATTTATAAAGTAATAAATGTAATAAATCACAGAAATAGATAATGGTTGATGGGATTAACCCGATCAGATGGCGGACCAAGAACGTAATATGAATTAGAAAGATAATCACTCGATAATATCCTTTGATTGAGTATCCAATTGTCTCTCCCTTTACAATGGCGGGTTCTCCCCTTTTTATAATATTTCTAATATTGTAATTAAAATTATACAAAATGGAAGAGATTATGGAGATCATGGGGTCGTGATTCCCTTTTTTCCGGTCTCGTTCTCCTTCCCTCTCGTCCACAACTCGATGATGTGGGCCACGTGTCCCATTCCTCCCTCGGACTGGGTCACCTTGATTTATCCCATGACTGGGCCATCTTCCTTTACTTGCCATATGCGCAATAACGGGCTCGGTCCGTTATCTCCATCTGACCTTATGCCTTTTGGGCTATTATGGGCCTTTATTTGGGCCTGGAGTTGGGCCTACCAGACCCGATATCCATCACAAGCCCCCTAGTTTTCTGGCAACGTGTTGCTAGAAAACTAATGATGAGCCGCCTTCGGTTTTCGTGTCGGATTAGAAACGTCGCACTCGAGTGCCTCAGGTTCATCCTTTCAACGGATATAACCCCTTCTGGACTCGTCTTCTTCCTCTTACTACCGAATCTTAACCCGACCCGAATTCCGACTGCAATTTCCCCAAATCCTTACTTCTTTTTCCAAAATGGCTCCTACAAATCCTGAAACCTGGACCCATGAACCCTCCATTATCAAGGAGAATGAACTTCGAGAGGTGGCCGTGCTCCTGGGCAAGGGCTTTCGGGTCCACCATCCCGTTGCCGTTGGGGGGATTAGTTTATCCCACAATCCAAACCCTCGGAAATATACGGTCATGCAGTACCACTCCGTGGAAAATGGGTTTAGGTTGCCCCTCCTCGGTCTGCTTCGTGATTTCTGCCTCCATTTTGGATTTGCTCTGGGTCAATTGACTGCAAACGCACACAAGTATGTCGCGTCTTACATCTTGCGGTGCTGCGCCCTGGACAGAACCCCAACATTGGATGAATTCCTTATCCTCTTCAGTATCGGTGGGTCTTTCCCCTTTTACAGCATGTATCCTCATAACCATGCCCCAATTTTTGAGAGGGTTGAGTTCAAGAATGAAAGATGGTCACTGAGATACTTCGTTATCGAGTTCCCGGCTCACAATCCCCTTGATCGGGTGTTGTCCTCCGTCGTTCCATTTCTGGGACGAAATTTGCTGCAGCAGAATTGGCGGAGGAAGTATACAATGCTTTGAGAGAAAAGGATGGTTTAATCTCACACCATTCTCTTCAAGACGCCCAATTGTACAAGAAGGCGGGCTTTTACTACCCCCTGGGTCCTGACACGTTTCCATTTGAAGGGGTGCCTTCCCCTGAAAGGTCGGAGGCTCCCCCTGCCGCAGAATCCAACCTAGCTATGAGCTCCTCCGGGAACCAATCCCAAGGCAACTCCACTACCTTGGCTATCCGCAAGCCGGCTGCTGCCTTGGAAGCCATTCCTATCTCTGCCATTCTTGGGCTTAGGAGACCCACTCCGTCCAGAAACGGCCACGGGAAGGAGTCAGTGATGATGATTTCCTTCCCAAGAAGAATAAGGGTGATGGTACTTCTGTTTCGCCCAGCCCCCTATCGACTTCTTCTGGCACTCAGAACACCACCTCTGCTGCTGCACCCGGTGGTTTAGAGCTACCCAACCCGGAAAGCTTGGACCATGAGGCAGTTGAACTCCCAGACCAAGAACCACTCAAAAAACCATCGGTGCAGCTTCAGCCTGATGCAAGCAATACCTTCCCAAAAACTGCATCTGCTCCTCAAGACATGGTGGAAGAAGTTGAGGGGCAGAGAGAACCGGAGTCTTCTCCCACAGCAGAGAAGGAGGTTGAAGTGCAATCAGAACTGGAAGCTCTCTCTTCGGTGAAGGAAAAAGGTGCTGAGGCCCCTTCAGAGACGGATAGAGCGACTGAGACACAGCGGGAATCGGAGGAACAACGGGAACCGGAGGAACGGCGTCACGCCACCACCCGTGGCCTCACTTCCCTGCAGGCTTCCCACTGGACCATCCAGGCCAATCTGGAGAAGATGAAGGAGTCCCTAAGGGAGCCCACAATCCCTCAGGCTCGTCCTGACATGCTCGCTCTCAATGCTCTTTACTCCATGGAGCAGGTACTCTCCTTTTCAAGGATCTCTTTTATTTCTCTCTAGTTATCTCTTTCTTGACTTCCCTTCCTTTCTCTTAGGCCCAACACCTGAGCTCTCTTCTGGGCCTTCTCTTGCCTCTGAACAGTCGGTGACTTCTCCCTTGCCCAGGGAGGAGAATCACTCTCATCTTCCCCTACAGGTATCAGGGGGTATTTTCCCGGGTTCCGGCGTGCTTCCAAACAGTGCCAGGACAGAAGTCTCTTCTGGCTGTCCTGGCACATCTCGTCCGCAGAAGAGACGCCATCCTCACTCAGGAGCTTCCCGGTTTGTCTCTGGTGCGAGGCCTTCCTCCCAGGGTTCTCCCTCCCCTCAGCAGTCATATGGACAATAGCCTGAGGAGTGGGGGGACTACGACATGGGGGGAAACAGGCTCCCATTTATACGCAGGGAGAAGGATGGGACCTTCCGGGATCCGCCTCCTCCTCTCGTATAAGCGGAGATCGGCCTTGAGTCCTTCCATCACGCCTTATCGCCCTCCTTTTCCGCCTTAATGGGAGTGACTAGATGGTTCTCACGGGGGATGCTCTTCAATCCCACCCCCTTGGTACCATCTCGCCTCTTGTGAATGTCATGAAGTGGGAACGGTGGGCGCTCTCCACACCTCCCCGCTCTGGGGTTCTGTTCTGGTTCAGGCAGAGGAATCACTGTCAGCGAACGCACTCCTTTAGATTTCAGAAGTGTCGATCCGCCTTGCCTTCAGATTTTTCCAGTAGTAGGATAGAAGCAGATCAGGGACAAAATTCATTACTGTAACCCAAAAGAATGTAATCTCCTGTTTGAGTTATTTAATGAAAGTCTTTATCTCCCGTCTCTTTTTTGTTTTGTTGTTAGATCAGGGATAAGGCCCATTACTGTAACCCAAAAGAATGTAATTTTCTACTTGAGTTATTTAATGAAAGTCTTATCTCCTGTCATTTAATATAATTTTGTTGCACCTGGCGTTATCTGCATGGAGTAGAAGTCTAAGTTTATTTAACTCCCTACCTTCCAAGGATGACGTCGTTCTCAAAGCGCAGATGGGCCCAATTAACTGGCCCATGCACTTAAGTGGCGAAAACCCCTAGTCAAACATTGGAAATCTTCGGCCGCTTCTTTCGCCAATCGCTTAGTCTTTCACGTTTTCCAACCGCATCCATCACTTCCTAACTATCCCTTCCCCTTTCACTATAAATGGGAAAGGATGGTTAGTTGCTAGTCCATCCCTTTTTGACTTCTTCGCCATGGCATGTAAATCTCAGAGTAAAGTCGTCATCGACTTAACCCTTTCCGGGACATCTTCTTCTTCGGATGATGATTTCTCCGTCTCTCCAGCTCAATCCAACGACATGGCTGGGTTGAGTCCTGGTGAGTTCTCAAGACTCTATCCGGCACCTCGCCTTCCTGCACCATCTCCTCCTAGTCCACCCAGGCTTCCGTCCGGGAGGATAGACTGGGATTCTATGACCCTCCACGACTTCGCCTTGTACCAGAGGATGTGCAGGGCTAAACTTGGACGCTCCTTGCCAATTGTCGAGGCGGAACCTTCACGTGAAAGCCGAACTGCTTCTCCAAACTTGCTGAAGTCTGCCAACGATGGTTCTTCATTGAGGGCAGCAGCTCCCCGTCCTGGGACATGGGAAGACTATGACATATGGGAAACCGCTGATTCCACAGCGTGTCCCTCGTCAAAGAGAAGGAGCCGATGGAAGGGACCACCACCTCCTTCATGTTGAGCATGGATGCAATAGGCCCTCCTTTAGTGCCTAGCCCCCTGCAAATCAAATTTCTTTTCCTTGTTTTGTATCAAGAGGCATTCACTTGTTTGGTCCAGGAGTTTTCCCTGCGTCCCAAACTAAGGAATGTTCCATAATCTTAGATTAGGAATTATCGTTGTAATTCAAAGATACAACCTCCGAATTACAATCGATGAACTCCCTCATTTTCTTTTCTTTTTTATCTTACTAGAAACCTTTATTGTGAACCAAAAATGTAAACTTTGGCCCATCAATGTGGTCCTTAATAGTTATTTCTTTGCACCTTTTCTAATGCAAGTAAATAATTCATTCTCTGTATAAAATCTCATCTCCCGAGCTTTGGACATGCCGGGGGAACTTACCTCATCTGCCCCTTGCCTCCTTTCCTCCGGGTTAAGGCATAATCTTATCTACCTTAGATCAGTTGAGCTCCAACCCTCAAAGTTTGTTTGCTCGGTTGATCTGTGCTGGTGGAATACTAAGCTTCAGCCCTCGAAGTCTGCTTGGTATTCTTCCTGAATTCTAGGTTGTAATTGCCCTCAAAGTCCAATCCCAACCCTTTCTTCATTTTTGACGGATGCATAAACTTATCTACCTTCGGGGGGCATAAACTAATCTACCTCCCCTATTTTTAGCAGGTGGCATAAACTTATCTACCTCCCTATAATGCGGGTCTATATCGCCCGGGGGTGCACTCCCCCCCCCCCTTTTTTTTAAAGAAATCTATAGAACAATGAAATTGCAAAGGTACTTGGGTTTAAAGGAAAAAAATTTATTGAAACAAACATCTTAAATTTAAAAATAAAGCGCTTTTACAAAATGGTTTCACTGATAAAATTTGACCAAGTGCTCTACATTCCATGTCCTATCAATTTTTTTTCCCTTGGGAGTCACCAACTTATAGGTACTTGGGCGAACAACGGCCTTGATGATATAAGGTCCCTCATACTTCTTAAGCCAGCTTCCCACCCTTAGTTGGTTGACTTTTCTCTTGTTTCCTCAGAACGTAATCCCCCACCTGGAACGCCCTTGGTTTCACCTTACTATCAAAGTAAGATTTCACCTGGCGACGATAATTCTCCGCCCGGATCCGTGCTTCATCCATTCATTCCTCTACGAAGTTCAGTTCTACGGCTTGACTCTGTTCGTTCACTTCCGGGTCATATTCTATCTCCCTCCTGGTGGGGATTACCACCTCAGCGGGATCCCGGGCTTCAAAACCATAGGTCAAGCCAAAAGGAGTGTCACCAGTAGCTCTCCTTGGAGTCGTCTTGTATGTCCACAGGATTCTGGGTAGTTCATCCACCCATTTGCTTCCCTCTGAAAGCAGCTTCTTTTTCATGCCGTCTATGATTGTCCTATTGACGTTCTCCACTTGTCCATTGGCCTGAGTGTAGGCAACGGACACTTTTGTATGCTGAATTCCCCAAGTTTTGAGGAAGTCTTGGAACTCTGCTTCCTCAAACTGGGTTCCATTGTCAGATATGATCTGCTTTGGGACTCCAAATCTGCAGAGTATATTCGTTCTAACGAAGTCGATCATCTGCCTCCCAGTTATCCCAGCAAGTGGCTCAGCTTCCACCCACTTGGTGTAATAGTCTATTGCCACCACAATCCACCTGGCCTGCCCAGCTCCTTTCGGTAGGGCTCGCACAATATCAATCCCCCATCTTGAGAAGGGAATCACAGAGCTGATGGGCGTGTAATTTGTGGCTGGCCTCTCGGGTATATTCTGGAATTGTTGGCATGTTGGGCACTTGCATATGTACTCTTCGCAATCCTTCCTCATCGTCGGCCAGAAATATCCCTGGATAATCGCCCTTCTAGAGATAGAGTACGGACCCTGATGTGCAGCACATACTCCCTCGTGTATTTCTTCCATTAGTGCCTTTGCCTCTGCTGCAGGCAACGGAGTAAAACACCTTTGTAAGATCGCTTATAGAGGACTCCATTCTGCACCTTGTAGGCAGGTGCCCTCATTCGCAACAGACGTGCTTCTTGGGGATCCTCTGGGGCTTCACCGTCCTCAATGTATTTGGCCAACCTGTCCAGCCATTCCGGGGGATCAGCTGAGACCCAGATAACCTCATTTCTGTTGCGACTCGGGGTTGCCAACTCTTCAACAGTCGCCAATCAGCTTATGTATTCTGGTGATTCTGCATTGAGCTTTGATAGGACATCAGCTTCTGCGTTCTGGGCCCGGGGTATATGTTCGAGCTTAAACTCAAACTTCCCCAACATTTCTAAGGACAAGCCTCGATACCTTTTCATCCTCTCTTCCTTTGCTTCAAACTCCCTAGTGATTTGTCCCACCACCAATCGGGAATCGCTGTAAACCTGAACCCTGGATACTCCCAACTTACTATGAATCTTCAATCCGTTGATCAGGGCCTCATATTCAGCTTCATTGTTGGATGCGCGGAACTGAAATCTAATAGCGTAATAAATCCGGAAATTTTCTGGGGTGATCACGACGATACCTGCTCCGCAAGATTGAGACCCAGAAGATCCATCGATGCTCATTACCCACCAGTCATTTTCTATTCGGGTTTCAACCTGAGCTCTTGTCATTTCCCTGGCGGTGCACTCAACTTGAAAGTCGGCGAGTGCTTGCCCTTTGATCGACGGGCGCGGCCTGAACTCCACATTATACTGACTGATAAAGACCGCCCACTTGGTCATCCGGGCAGATGCCGCCGGGCTTCGGGTAAGTGACGCCAAAGGCTCATTCGTGAGCACAACGATCCGGTGAGCCTGAAAGTATGGAGTTAATCTTTTCGCTGTCCAGAAGACCGCTAACATGGCCTTCTATGGACGGGAATACCTTAACTCCGCATCTCTCAGAGTCTTGCTGACGTAGTAGACCGGATGTTGGGCCCCATTCTCCTCCTTCATGATCACAGTACTTATGGCACAGTCTACAATTGCCAAGTACAGGGTCAGAACATCTCCAAGTTCTGGCTTAGATAAAATCGGTGGACTTGCGAGATATCTCTTCAGTTCTTCAAATCCTTCTTGACATCCCTGTGTCCATTCGAAGGTCGCCCTCTTCTTGATTACCGTGAAGAATGGGTGCGCCCTCTCTGCAAGCTTTGAAAGGAAACGATTCAAATCCGCCAATCTCCCTGTCAGCCGCTGAACTTCTTTTGCTGTCTTCGGGGGTTCCATCTCCATGATGGCCCTAACTTTCTTAGGGTTTGCCTCAATCCCTTTTCGGCTAACCATATGCCCAAGGAATTTCCCACCCTGAACAGCAAAAGTACACTTCTTCGGGTTCAATCTCAGATTTACCTTCATCATGATTTCAAAAACCTCCTCAAGGTCCCGGACATGGTCTCGGGCCTCTTTGGACTTGACAATCATATCATCAACATATGCTTCCATGGTTCTCCCTAGGAAGGCCTTGAACACCTGAGAAACCATCCGGGTATATGTCGCCCCGGAATTTCTCAGTCCAAAGGCCATCACCAGGTAACAGTACAGCCCTTTTGGGGTCATAAAACTCGTCTTTTCAGCGTCAGCCGGATGCATCCGAATCTGATGGTAGCCGCTGAAAGTGTCCATGGAGCTCATTAACTCCGATCCGGCAGTCTCATCCACCATCTGATCGATGTTGGGGAGAGGAAACGGATCCATAGGACATGCCTTATTCAAATCTGTGTAGTCTACAAGGTTGCTACCTCCTTTTTCACAAAATCTCTTCTTTCCTGCGACAAATGCCTCCGCTTTTGCTTCACTGGTTTAGCATCCGGCAGAACATTTAGGCGATGGACTGCAATCTTAAGATCCAGCCCTGGCATATCAGCCAGACTCCATGCAAAGACCCTCCTGAATCTTCTAAGGACTGAAATCACCTGTGATCTGAGTTCAGCCCCCATGCCCTTGCCAATCCTGACTAACCTTCCCGGCGTGCCTGGCTCTAGTTCCACTTCTTCAATGTCGCCAGCAACTTCTACCCTAGGACGTTTTTCCTCGGCCCTCAGGAGCTGTGCAGTCACCTCTCCCACTTGGGTATCGTACTTGACTAGCTATTTGGTTGCCTTCAAATACCATGCCCGGGACACTCTCTGAGATCCCCTGGCGATTCCAACTCCGTGGGGGGGGGGTTAGGAACTTTATGCACAGGTGATGAGGTGAGATGACACACTCTAAATCTTCCAATCCGGGTCTGCCTAGGATGATGTTTGTGTTGGAGATTATCCCCACCACCACAAACTCCATGTCCAACTTCCGGGTGGCCTTAGTATCCCCTATCTCGACCGGGAGAGTTATTACCCCCTCCGGTTCAATAGAGTCACCAGTGAACCCGGCCAGTGGAGTCTTAATGGGTGACAATTCATCCCTTGTCAAACCCAGATCCTTGTACGTATCCATATACATGATATTAACGGAACTTCCCATATCCACAAGGGTTTTATGGATCAGTAAGTCCATTATATCAATAGTAATCACCAGGGCGTCCCTATGGGGGACCCCTGTTTCTGGAAGATCAGCATTAGAAAATACAATTGGCTCGGTTTTCAGCTTCTTACCTTCTGGGACCAGCACCATGTTGACCGTCGCCGCGTTGGCCCACTTCTTCCGGCTCGTGGCTGAATCTCTGATAGTATTTCCACCGATGATGAAGTTACACCCGTAGTGTCTCTTCTGGCGGTGCGGCGCGGGTTCTGAATCCTCTTCTTCATCTTCTAGCCCGATATGGCGTTTCTCCCGGGCCTCTTTATCTCTACGCTTTCCATTCTGAGCATTCCTGGGATTTCCCGCGTCACCATCTTGTACAAACTTCTTCAGATGGCCCCGGCGGATTAGCCTTGCCATCTCGTTTTTCAAGGTATAACTATCCTCCGTATTGTGATCATTCTTGCGATGGCATGCACACCATTTTCCAGTGTCCTCCACATTGCAGACCTTTTGAGAATAGGTTGGGTAAGTCATGAGTCCCTGCTGTGCAGCGTGGGCCATGACCTCAGCCACCGGCAATGTGAAGACCGGATTGGCAGATTTGTGCTTATCCGAGGTCCTAGGACTTGTGCCCTTTGGGCCATCCGAGAAGCCCTGCTTCTTGTTTTTGAACGGCTTCTTATTTCCCGTCTTCTCTTCTTCTTTAGGAGTCTTCTCCTTCTTCTCCTCCTTTCTCTCCTCCAGGGTCACATACCTTCTGGCCCGGACCATTGCTTCTTCGAAGGTATCCGGGGGATGAGTTGTAAGGTCGGTGTGAAGAATTCCATCCTGTAATGCCGCCGTGAACATGGTCGTTGTGAGGTTGTCAGTTCCTTCAACCTCCCTGGACTCTTTCCTCCATCGAATAAGGAAATTCTTCAATGATTCTCCGTGCTTCTGTCGCACTGAAGCCAAGTGAGTGAAATGCTTCTTGGGACGGCAGTTCCCGGCAAAGTGCTCTAGGAACCGCAATCCCAATTCATCCCACGTCCGGATCGATCTGGCAGGAATATGGTTGACCCAATCCGCAACCTTGCTATCAACTGTCTGCAAGAAGCACCGGCACATGAGTGCGTCACTGGCGTCTACGGCAATCATCACCTGGACATAGCTGTTTATGTGTTCCTGGGGATCTAACTCCCCATCATAACGCTTAACAAACGGCATTTTCAATCCCTGCGGATATGGTTCCGCAAAGATCTCCGGGGCTAAGGGAGTATTCGTCCGGGTAGTGAATACTCGTCCCTTGTTTATCTTCCTCTACATCTCCTGGATCTGCTACCTCAGGTCCTGGAATTCGCCTGCTTCCAGCACCGGCGGCCCCAGACGCTGTGGTGCTGGGACCCTGACTTTGCTCTGTACTTCATCGTCATCCAAAACCACCAACGACCGAAACGGCGCTTGGCTCATACCGCGGTCATTCCGCTGCCTGGGTTCGCGGTTAGAAGATGCCACTTAGCTGGCCTGGGGTCGTATCCAACCCTGGGGTGCCTTATCCAGATTCTTCCCCAGCCTCTCACTAACGTGAGCTTTCTGGCGAGATATCCTTTCAAAGACAGTTCCCCGCAGGTTTTCGTTTCCATTGTCGACGATCCGGCTTGCACCCTTGGCCCGGTCTTCATTCACCTTATTATTCCGGGCCAATTCCTTCGCCCGGCGTCTGGCAACGGCTTGTCTCTCCCTCTCAACCTCCTCCGGATCATGAAGCTCTTTGAGGATAGGAGAACTCGCAGTACGCAGGACCTGGCGGGGTTGCCCGGCAGGGATGTCCCGGGTACCGGATGGACCTGGAAGAGCCTTATCCAATCGTTCCATAATGTTGGCCATCATGTTAGGCACATTATTCAATGCCGTCTCCAACCCATTGACAGGAACAACCATACCCTGTTCAGGGTTGTCACTCCTCACCGTCGACTGGGCGCAAGCAGCAGTGTTACGTCTCGTCCTTCGTCCGGCCATAATCTCACAACCTTATCTCACAGTTTTCTCTCAATGAAAGCACCAATGATGGGATTAACCCGATCAGATGGCAGACCAAGAACGTAATATGAATTAGAAAGATAATCACTCGATAATATCCTTTGATTGAGTATTCAATTGTCTCTCCCTTTACAATGGCGGGTTCTCCCCTTTTTATAGCATTTCTAATATTGTAATTAAAATTATACAAAATGGAAGGGATTATGGAGATCATGGGGTTATGATTCCCTTTTTTCCGGTCTCGTTCTCCTTTCATCTCGATGATGTGGGCCACGTGTCCCATTCCTTCCTCTGGGTCACCTTGATTTATCCCATGACTAGGCCGTCTTCCTTTACTTGCCATATGCGCAATAACGGGCTCAGCCCGTTATCTCCATCTAACCTTATGCCTTTTGGGATAAAAATATTATTTCACAATACAAATCGTGACCTTACTTCATTGACACTGATAAAGAAAATAATTGTATTAAGAACATCATCAAAAATGCAACTAAATAATTTTTATGTCAGTGTTGGAAGAAGTTGAAAGAAACTAGGAGTTCAAAACACATAAAATAGACCGAAATAGAATGGATTGAAAAAATTTCAAGTGTTGAAAAAATTGGAAAAAGTTGTTAAAAAAACTAAATGTTTGAAAAAAAAATGGTGTTGGAAAATAAAGGAAGCTAAAAGCGAGAACCGGATAGAACAGAGTTAATATCTATGAATTTTTAATTTTGAAATCTTTTTTAATATCAATATCAATATCAATATCAATCAATACTATTCTTAAAAGCAGAGGAATTATTTTCCCGCTCAATGCACTGTAATCCTGCACAGTCGATATCAATGTACGAAGAAGATCTGCTGTTATGATTTGTTGTGTAATATTACCAATTTAGGCTCTGCTCCATTCAACTTTTATTTTTCTGATCTGATCTGATTTTAATAAGTTCTGATCTGATCTAATCTGGTCTGATCTGATCTGATTGGATCTGATTTGATCTGATTGGATCTGATCTTATCTGATTGGATCTGATCTGATCTGATTGGACTTGATCTCATCTGATCTGATTTGATTAGATCTGATGTGATCTGGTCTGATCTGATCTGATTAATTATGATTTAATTTAAAATTTCAAATTAATAATTTGATTTGACTTTATAATAACGTTTGAAAATTGTAATGATAATTCATAGTATAATATAATCAATATTTTTTATTTACTAATTATTTTTTAATAAAGTTAAAATAGTTAATTCATATATTAGAATAATCATTCATATTATAATGTAATAATATTTTTTATTTTATGATTATTTTTTTATATTAGAATATTAATTTAATATTTTAATAATTACTTCATATATACATTAGAATAAATATTTAATTTAGATATACATTAAAAAGTAATTAAATTTAGATAATCAATATATAGAAGAGATAGTATTTTTATTAAAATATCTCATCCTTATAAAAGATCAAAACTTTAGAAACTCAAATTACAAGTAGCAATAAAAATATATTTTAAAAGTAGAATTAGATTGACACTGTTAATGTATTTTAAAACTAATTTTTCCGACGTCTAATAATTAAAGATTACTTTCTCAGTTTTCTATTTAACTTATTTCTAAAGTTTATTCTTTTTCATTTTTAAGAACAATAATAATAATAATAATAATAATAATAATAATAATAATAATAATAATAATAATAATAATAATAATAAAATAATAATAATAATAATAATAATATTAATAATAATAATAATAATAATAATAATAATCATAATAATAATTCTTGATGGGATCTGATTTTAACAAGTTCTGATCTGATCTGATCTGATCTGATTGGGTCTGATCTGATCTGATCTGATTGGATCTGATTTGATCTGATCTGCTTCGATCTGATCTGATCTGATTCAATCTGATCTGATCTGTCCATATTCGATCTGATCTGATCTGATCTGATTCTAATAAGAATAAGAAAAAATAAGAAAAAATAAGTTGAACGGAACGGGGCCTTAGAAGGATATATATTAAAGGAAACTTTTCACTAATTAAATGTTATGAATTGAATGCATTGTAATATGACCGAAAAGAAAGGAACGTAACTAATATGTTGACCAATTAAATTGTTTACTTGATTGTAATATTAAATTGATTTCAGGATTCATATATGGCCAAAAAGGAAGGGACGGATTAAATGAATCAATCATTGTCGATTGTGAGCCGTTAATCTTTGAGTACATCATCATGATCTATGATTGATATAAAATATTACATTAATCTGCACCTAAAGGAGTTAATAAATTAAAAATTGTAAGATTTGAAAAGAGAAATCCGAAGGAATGATTTATTTTCTTTCCATAATGGTAACAAAAATGGTAACAATTTTTAATTGGTAATAAAATTGGTAACAGTTTTTGTCTCCATCCGAATTAAGTACTGAAAGTACGAAATAACAAAAATGGTAACAATTTAGAAAAAGAAAACAGGAGCAAACCGTGAGTTATATTGTTTTTTATTTTTTTTCTTTTTTGTGAATAAAATCAGTAATAACGAACAAAATTAATCTACACCTAAAGGAGGAAATAAATTAAAAATGGTAAGATTTGAAAAGGAAAATCCAAAGGAATTATTTATTTTCTTTCCATCCGTACGTTTGTTTTTGTTTTAATCTTTTCTTACCATATTTGTGAATAAAAAATAAAAAAAGTGGAAACAATTATTGTTTCCATCCGAATTAAGTAATGAAAGTAGGAAATAACAAAAATGCTAAGAATTTAAAAAAGAAAACAGCACCATACCGTGAGATATAATGTTTTTTTTTATTTTTTTATTTTTAATAAAATTAGAAATAATGAACAAAATGCTAATAATGTAAAATTTATAAAGTAATAAATGTAATAAATCACAAAAATAGATAATGGTAATAGTTAGAAAATGAAAAAAGAAGAATGGAATTTAACATTTGTTACGTTAAAAAATAATTTGTTTACCAATTTGTTTCCTTTTCAAAAATAATTTTTTTACCAATTCATTTCCTTTTCAAAAATAAATTTTTTTTACCAATTTGTTTCCTTTTAAAAAATAATTTTTTTGTATAAATTATGATCTTGTCCAATGCTTTGTTGAGGACATTTTTACGAAATGGATGATATATTGATCTCGAATTTTAAAACAAACACATACACATAAACAATTATGGGTGTATGGTCAACCCTGGACAAAATTGATGATGGTTTAGGTCCTTACATGGTAAAAGTGCGAGCCGTAAGTGGATTAGCCACACGTTGTGGTGAACCAAGATAAAATTTGGTGTGCTTCTTCCTTACGCTCTTTACTTTATCGCTCTCGTTTTTAATTTCATGTGATTTTGTTTTAAACTCTATTCACCCCCGTCTAGCGTTGGGCCTATATTCTAACACTTTCATGGTAAAATGCGAGCCGTAAGGGTTTATCAAACCACTGCGCATGATCAAACGCTAGAATCTTCTGATGTTATCTTTCATGATCAAAAGGTTTGTTATAACTTTTATTCGATTTAGGGGCTGTTTGGCAACTTCTGAATGGGTAAGTGCTGAACCAGTAAGAGGTCTGAACCATTAAGTGCTGAACCAGTAAGAGGTCTAAACCATTAAGAGCTAGTATATTGCTTAACTATTCAGAGGCAAATGTCTGATCAATTCAGATAAGAGGTCTTAACCATTCAGACTCTGTATAATACTTAACCATTCAGAGGCAAATCTCTTAACCATTCAGACATCTGAACCATTAAGAGGCTGAAACAAACAGACCCTTAGATTCATTATATTCATTAAACAAATAATTGTTATTAAATAAACAGTAATTATTTCTTGATTTACAAAGAAATCGAATTCATGCGCAGATAAGAGATTCAAATATCAATGCTTTCAAAGATATTCTTTTATAATGATACCAATATAAATTCATATTGTAATTGCGAGCCATGCAACACACGGGTGTGATACTAGTTTAACGTACAATTTAATATAATAACTATATTCTCCATATAATACACTATCCATTTGAGTTGAGAAAAAGAAAACCAATTTCATTTTATAAATATAATCTACTCTTTTAATAATAAAAAATTTAGAATCGAAGAGAAGCCCTGAAAATCAATTGAAATTGAAAACGGGAAAGAGAATAATGGGACTTTTGCAGTGGCGGGCTGAGAAATTTGGTGCGAAGAAGAGAGGGAAAATCTGAGCGGCTGAAAAATTAGAAACTAATCACAGAAGATTACGGAGTTGAACCTTCTTTTTTATTAAAAAAATTTAATTGTAGTAGGTTAATTATTACCCACTAAGAAGAAACTACTCCGATTCGTAAGTCTACAACTAACTAAAGTGGTTTTAAAAATTATAGAGTAAAAGTTGTTTAAAAAAATTTTAAAGTAAATTATCCTCCGTATAGGTACAGTGGACAACAGGTTTGTTATTTTTAGTTTTCAAAATGAAAACTTAATTGATGTCCTTAAAAATATTTTTAGTAAAATGTGTCATAAAAAACTTTTAAGGACATTTCATAAATAATGTGTCCTTAAATAATGTCCTTGTATCCACGGACACCGCAGCCCAACAACCCAACCCGGCACCCAATACTCACCCAATGCAAACCCGCTCCAAAGCCGGTGTCTTTTGTCCTAAGCAAATTCTCAATCTTAACACCTCAGTCACCATCTCCCCGTTACCTCCAACCTACCGTAGTGCACTAAAAGATCCAAACTGGCATGCTGCTATGTGTGAAGAATATAACGCCTTGATAAAGAATGACACATGGGAATTAGTACCCCCCCCTCCCCCTCACAAAATCTCATCACCGGTAAATGGCTCTTCAGACATAAATTTGGCCCAACCGGTGAGTTATCCAGGTACAAAGCCCGCTGGGTGGTTCGTGGTTTCAACCAACGTTTTGGCGTTGATTATGACGAGACTTTCAGCCCCGTTGTCAAGCCTGCCACTGTTCGTGTTGTCCTCAGTCTTGCTCTGTCTCGAGGTTGGCCCATTCATCAGCTTGATGTCAAGAATGCGTTCCTTCACGGCCAGCTACAGGGACCGTCTATGCCTGTCAGCCTTCTGGGTTTCAGGATCCCACTCGCCNTGGTTTCACAGGTTTGCTGGTTTCATACAGACTATTGGCTTTAGAGGATGTAAGGCCGACACTTCTCTCTTTGTCTTCTCTCAGCCCATGGGCACGACCTATCTACTACTTTATGTGGATGATATAGTTCTCACAGCATCCTCTCCAGCACTTCTACAGAGTCTCATTCAGCAGCTCAAGGCTGAGTTCTCCATGACTGATATGGGCGATCTGCACTTTTTCCTCGGGATCAATGTTCACCGCACAGCTTCTAGCCTGTTCCTCCACCAGACTCAGTTCACGCACGACATCCTTGAGAGGGCAGGGATGGTTTCTTGTCGGCCCATCTCAACCCCGGTGGATACAAAGGCAAAGCTATCTGCGTCAGCTGGTACGGCGCTCTCCGACCCCTCACTTTACCGATCCATTGTTGGCGCGCTGCAGTACCTCACATTCACACGTCCTGATATCACATATGCAGTCCAGCAGCTCTGCCTACACCTCCATGCCCCCCACGACGCTCACTTTGCAGCCATGAAGCGTGTTCTCCGGTATCTCAGTGGCACCGCCACTCATGGCATCTACTAGACACGATCCGCCACCGACTACATACAGGCTTATTCAGACGCTGATTGGGCTGGTTGTCCTGATACCAGACGTTCTACTTCGGGCTACTGCGTTTTCCTCAGCGACAACCTTGTCTCATGGTCATCTAAGCGCCAGGCCACTACTTCTCGCTCAAGTGCCGAGGCCGAATACCGGGCTGTAGCGAATGCTGTTGCAGAAACCAGCTGGATCCGAAACCTCCTCCTTGAGCTCCAGCAGCCACTCCGTCGCGCCACACTTGTCTTTTGTGATAATGTTAGTGCGGTCTACCTTTCGTCAAACCCGGTACAGCATCAGCGCACCAAGCACGTCGAGGTTGACATACACTTTGTGCGTGATAAGGTGGCGCTCGGTCAGATCAGAGTCCTGCATGTTCCGTCATCTTCTCAGTTTGCTGATATCTTCACAAAGGGACTGCCTCACAATTATTTCTTGACTTCAGAGAAAGCCTTGGTATACGACCCCCAGCACTGCCGACGTAGCTGGGAGCATGTTAAATATATATAATATATTTAATATTATTGTATTATTATTGTTACCATATTTGTATAGGTTTCCTATAGTGTCTCTCCTACCTTAATTAGGATTGAGACTTGTGTATATATACATGTACTCTCCTCACAATTTATTCAATGAAAATACTTCTTCTTTAGCCGCGACTGCCGGAAGACCGATTGCGTCGGAGATAGCCGCCGGCGGCGGGGTTTGCGGAGGTTTCGGCCTTCAGGTCACCGGAGAGGAGCTTGTCGTCCCAAACCAGGCCCGACGAGCCTTGCCTTCGGAACGAGATTTCTGATATTGGCAAAGCTGATCCTGCAGCATTAAATTATGTTATCTTTATGGCTATGTATGTTATACTATGTTGTGTAATATGGAGTATTTCCTCTTGTGTTATTTAATTGGATGGATGGCGGTTTACACAGATGATGCGACCAATGTTGTCTGCGCATAATAATGCGAAAACTAGAATAAAATATTGAAAATATATCAAAATACTCCCTCCGTCCCACTGTGTTTGTCCACTTACATTTTGGCAGACCATCCAATGCACTTCTTTAATCCATTTTATCTTGTAATTTGTATATTAAAAAATTATACAAATTATATATTAATAATCTATATGTTTAGACGAATCAAACAAGATCACACATGACTATTTTTAGGCTTACACATTAAGAGAATTTGATGAGTCAAAGTGCTTAGATGAACAGTTCCAAAAGTCAAATGTGGACAAAGACAATGGGATGGAGGAAGTAATATTTTCATGTTTTTATTTCACATATGACTTACATTACCAAAAATGATCATGTACATTACCAAAAAAGTATAATAATGTGCACATGTACATTGTCACATTACCACAGTGCAAAGTCTTATTTTAGGGGAAAACATGAAAATCTTATTTTGGTACTTCCTCAATAATTTAGTCCTAATTATGGTTATATCTATTCATTCATACTCCCTAGTTACAGTCTTATTTTTATGTACTTCCTTCGTCCCTGAGTATTTGGCCACTTTTGACTTTTTCCTATCAAAATTGGTAAATTTTGATCTCAAATTAAATAAAAATGATATTAAATATTAATACAAAAATAGTTTTCTTAGACTTATTATATCAAACTAGTACATCACCCGTGCGATGCACGGAAAGAAAAAATTAACCTAATTGGTAAAAAGTGTATAAAATGTTAAAAATCAAGATTATTATATAAATAATAGATATGTGTGATTTCCATTTAAATATCTTATTATTAAATGAGTTTTAAATAGACATAAAAAATAAAAGGGTGAGTTTTAGAGTTTATTGTATAAAATACATAATATGAGAATGAAGGACAATTAACTTTATTTATTAACATGAATCATATCATTAGTAACGACGCTCAATGGATTTATGATCTGCACATTACCGGTATAAATATTATTATTAGAGACCAAAATCTTAATTTTTTCAATAGAAAGAAGAAATACTAAAAATTAGTAATATAACTTTTAAAAAATTTAAATTATATTTTAAAATTATATAAAATTATAAGTATAAATATTGAAACATTAGAAAAGTGTAATGATATCTTTCTGAGCATTAAACTTGATTGATAGATACTCCGTACTTGATATGTCAAATGTGACATACTATTATCTGCACATTGCTGGTATAAATATTATTATTTACAGAAAAAATCTTAATCTTTTTTTAGAAAGAAGAAATACTAAATATTAGTAATATAACTTTTTTAAAATTTTAATTTATATTTTAAAAATTATATAAAATTATAAGCAAAAATATTGAAACATTTGAAATGTGTATTGACAAATATATGGATGGATAGTAGATATCAATTAATGGATTGTGAGTGTTTGATTAGATTGAGAGAGAGGTTAAACATTCATTCCATTGGATGCATTTAAATGTGGAGACTATTAATTTTAATATTTGTTAAGTTTATTTATTTATAATATTTAATTTGTAATATTATTTTCAAAATATTTGATTATTTTAATTAATTAAAATATTTATATTTATTTTTAATATTTAATTTAAAAATAATTAAGTATTTTATTTTATTAAAACAATGTTGTAATTTTCTTCTCTAATTTCATTCTTCCAAATATAAATTCATATAATTCCTAAATATTTATTTTAATATTTTTCATGTTATTTTTATTTAAAATAAATAATAAAATAAAGTTTATTGGGACACATAAAAAATAATTAATTTAAAAGATGGATGGATAAAATGGGTTGTGAGTATATGTTTTAAAAATAAGGTGTTTAAAAATGAATGATGTAAAGATGTTGTGGATCAGAGAGAATGATAGAATGAATGAATTTTATTACAAGTGATGGAGATGCTCAAAGGTACTTGAATTGTAAACATGAAAAGTTATGTTTAAGAAAAAAGTCTGGTTCAATAATACGGAGCATTATAGATTCTTGTAATTCCTTTTCGATGGTAAAAACTAAGAACCCACAAGAAATCTCACACCAAATTTAGAAAGATGCAAAAATCAAATGCGAAGAATCTAAGAAAAAACTTGAAACAAAACTGATGTCCAAAAAAATACACGTAATACAAAAAAGAAAAATTGGAAACACGACAATGGTAATTGTTGTTTTTAATTAATTCAAAGCAAAACTTGTAAGAAAACCAGTAAATAATAAAAGTGATGCTTTTGTTTATCTTATATATGTACTTCCAGATTTATTCCTTCGAACTCTATTTGCTTCTATCTAGCCCTCTCGGTAACAACTGAGCTAGAGTAGCGGAAAGTGTTGAACCATATATCTTTCTTGCCTTTAAAGAGTGAAAAGAATTGAATGAAGATTAATAAGTTGTGATTGACTGCAGAAAACATATCATATAAGTATAACCCAACAAAAAATATAGCAAACATGTCTTTCCATTTATACATATACAAGAGAAGTGAAGATAAATAAAACTCTCTAATGAATAATGACTATAATATAAAGATATTGAAGAACATGTAAGCTTACAGGTCCACCCCGCAACAGCTCTAGAAGGGCTTTTGCAAGAACATGTGAGCTTCTGTGTTCATACATTTGCATTAACATAACTTGCATTCCAATCATTCTAAAAGAAAAAATTTGAGCATGATTTTATGGGAAAGAATGAAACTTTAGGTGAAAATGGGGAAAGTGAAAGACTTTACCAGGTCTGACATCAACGCAGCCCCATGATTCTGATCCATCTCATGACAATTGGGTTCTTGAAGCCATGGAAGAATCTCCATGCAAGAAGCAGAAACAAAAGAAAAACAATGAATCAATCAGAAGATGAAATTTTCCCATCCGATGGTTTTCAAACCGCACCATCAATCATCGTTTGCCCAATCACTGTGGAGCTTTCACCGCTTCTTGCGAGAGAACGTTCTCCCAACCTTTGTGGACTATCGCCAGGGCATCCTAATTATGTGAATCTATAATTTAAAAATTTTTATTATACCAAGAAAGATCATCTGCAAAAAGAATTTTTGAAATAAAATTGTAGCAATGTGTGAAACAAATTGCATTTAACTTGAAGTGTAGGTAGTAGTAGGCTTGAGCACGATAAGTTCATCAAAATGCACGTAGTTCAACTTTTCTAATTAACCTTTATGCCATAAGTTCATTTATATAAAAAAAAAAGTCACGAATTGCATTTAGCTTGCAACGTAGATCATATTGAACTTGTTACTTTGTTTAGCAAATGTAAATGAAGAAGAGAGTAGCTTTTTTTGAGAACATGCATTTATCTAACTGTGCAGTGAAGTGTAAAACTGTAAATGAACATTAATATGGTAATTGGTAAATGAGATTAAGTTATTCAAGTCACAAATTGAGACCATATCACCCAAGTTTGGTGATATTTTCATTATTTTGTTATCCTAATGTCTGTCTGCACTGTGGTTTGTATGCAGAAAGCTGACTTGCATATCCATAACAGAGGAAAAGATATGCAAGGAGGATTTGTTTCCAGCAATATCTCTTCTTGTAAGGCTACTGTTCATTGTCTCAACCCCACCCTCTGTCTCTTCCTCGAGTGCCACATCAGTTCACCTCCTCAATAACTACTGCACATCATCCCCTGTTTCTCCCCATATCAAGCCCGTGCCCAAGAGGCTTGCCCCATTAAGATTACACTTTCATCCGCCTCAAATGCCTGAACTAACACTGCGCTAATTAATCTAAATGATGACCCCTTCAATAACAAAGAAAGGCTATGTGGAATCCCATCTTCAAGGCTGATGGACAGTAATTCCACCAAATGATCCGATTCACAAAGCGGATCGTAAGAACAAAATTAAGAACGAGAATTCGAGAATTGGGTATGTATTATTAGCTTGATTTAGCTTGAGTTTTCCCCTTTCGGGTCTCCACTATTTATACATGAGCTCTCAGCAATTTAGGTAATGTATTATCGATGCAATCTATCCCGCCAATGGCGCGATCCCTTTTTTCCGGCTTCGTAACGGCCAATCTGCTCCGTCTCCTTCTCCCGATTGACTCTGCCAGCTGCGCTTGGTTTGAGGTTAACTAGGCCCAGCTCCACAGGCCGGCCCAAGCTTGGGCATTTCACAGGTGCTTGGCCCGATGCTGTATAAGTGGTTCATTTGGGCCGCCCACTGGATATCGGCCCATCATAAGCCCCCCAACTCCTCAGTCCTCAACTGGGCCAAGTGGAGGAATGGGGAGTTTGCAAAGTCCACGTGGGTGCTCCAGCGGGGATCCGGGCCGTTCCTTGGATTCCGCGTGACATCTGGGCACGATCTCCACAACTAGGTAATCATGGCCTGTCGGTTCGCCTTCCTCTTGTCAGTTAAAAACCGCCGCAGGACGCCATTTCTTCCTTCCGCTTTCTTCACCATCATTCGTCTGTAATTCCGCTGCTACCCGACCCGTTCTTCTTCCTTTCCAGGTCAGTTCCTTTTCTCGCCGTCATGATTGTTTCAGATTCCGATTCGGCTACCCCATCGTCCAATTCTTGCCAAGCCGATCAATCGGCCTCTGGCCGCAACCCCGGCCACACTCAATCACTCCAGCCGTCACCGTCGGCTGTGTCTGGCCATAAACGGCGTCGATTGAGGAAGCAATTCCCTTCCTCAACCCCGGTAGACGAGGGCTCGAGGGTTGGATTGGACGAAAATATCATGGCGTTATGCCATTGCCAGATTACTGACTGGGGGTTCGCCGATGCTACTGACATGGTCGGACCTTCCATTGAAGTCATGAGACCTACCAGCACCCAAACCGCCCTGGACGCCCCTTCAGGGTTCTTCACGGTCCATCTGGCGTCTTTGAAGAAGGGGCTGCGCTTCTCACTCCACCCGCTTTTGATCGAATTCCTCAATGTGGTGGACCTTCTTCCGTGCCAGTTGGTCCCCAACTCTCACCGGTACATCGCCGGTTATTTGGTCCGGTGCAAGGCCGTAGGGGTGAAACCGACTTTGGACCATTTCCTATTCACCTTTAAGCTGACCAAGGGTCATAAGGATTGGGCGTCCTATGCCAGCCTTTCCCAGAGGTCCAGTAAGCTCTTTGCTAGCGACAAGAAGGGGTCGACCAAAGACTGGAAACCCTACTTCGTCTTTGTCTCGACGGGGCCCGAATCTCCTTTCACAGGTTCAGGGCGCCCTTCCTTCCGCCGCATTCCATGCCCCCCATCTGATGCCACCCTTTTGTCCATTACTCGCCAACTCTGCAACAAGGGAGTTATGAACATCAAAGAGGTGGTAACAGAGGAGACCCTTGCCGGGTTGGGGTTTGAGTTTCTTCAGGATGAGCTTCGCCACCAACCCGACCTACTGAGGGACATTCCTGGGGGGCATCAGCCCGTCCAGCCGAAGGACATTCCTGAGGAAGGTCTTGACTGTGGTCCTTTCGGTAATTGACCTTTCCTTTTGCCCAGATGTTTAGTTTATTTTTTTTAAGGCTAAGCATTTCCTTTGTTTCCAGTGGAATTACAAGATTCAGGAGAAGAGATGGACGGCGATCTCCTACTCAGTCGCTTCACTGCAGGGAAGAAGAGGAAGAGAGAGACGAAAGGCCAGGGCAAACGCCCTTCGTCCCACCACAGGGAGGGTCCCTCCAAAGAGCCGGCTGTAATTGTAGTGGAGGACCAGGATGATGCTGCCCTGGAAACGGGTACGGTGACTGGTCATTCCCCCCCATTCTGTGAAGCCGGGTGGTGACCTCGCTGGGTCGTCACTAGGTGCTGCCTCGGAGCGACCTCCTTCGCCTCCCGCAGTGACCTACGAGGTGGCGACCGGGGGTCGCTCGACGAGGCTTTGCATTCCTCCTCTGCCCCAAAGCTTAGGGGACGTGCAACTGGAGACCCTGATCACCTTGCCCGCGGAGGATCAAGCTCGCATCTCGGCCGGTTCTGAGGACGACCTTGATAACATGGTCCTTTTGAGGCTTAGCCAGGTAATTGCGCTGATTCTATCTGTACTCCTTTTCCTTTTTTACATTCTTAACCCCCATGCCTTGGCGCAGGCCACGCTAGGGATGATTGAGGTGGTCGGTAGGAGACGGGGTCACCAGGCTGCCTTGGGCGAGGCGTTGAAGACATCGGAGGCCAAGCAGAAGGAATTGCAGGAGGAGGTCATCCGGCTCACAAGAGAGTTGGGGGAGAGGGAAGATCGTTGTGCGGCGCTTGCTGCAGAGAAAACTTCCAAGGAGAACCGCTGCGTCGCCCTTGAGGCAGACAAAGCCGCCCTGTCCTTGGAGGTAGAATCTGTTTCTGCTCGCGTGGTCGAGCTGGAGGGGGAAAAATCTGACCTGATCCAGCTGTTGGGAGTGGAGAGGAGCGACCGGGTCCGGTATGCAGAGAAAGCGGTAGAATCCTTCAAGTCTTCTCCTGACTTCGCGATGGTCGCGATGGAGCGGATGGAAGAGCTAACGGCCGCTTGGCTCGAAACCGAGCCTGGGGCTCAATGGATGGTCAAGGAGGGGACCAAATCCTTCAACTATGGACTCTTCCGCGCCCAACAGGTCTTCCGCAACAGACTGGCTCAGCTCCCCAAGGGATTCTCTCTTCCCGACCTTGGCTTCCCTCCTCCCTGCCGTTCCTTGGCCGAGTTCGACCCCAGTCCTTATCTAGACGGGGGGAGCTCAAGTGCGTCGGAAGAAGAGGAAGAAGAAGAAGTGGAAGGCGGTCAGGGCGACCAGGATCAGGGGACCAGCTTAGCCACGTCCAAGGCGGGTGGAAATCCTAGCCAGAGTTTTGTAAACACTTGTTGTTTCTTCCTTTGAAATGACTTATCGTTTTGATGCAATGTTCGCATGTTACTTGATTCGTTGGATCCACTATATGCCTCCTTTTTTCAGCGTTTTACTTTCTTCTCTTGCTTAGCTGATTCGCATGTATGTTTTAGTTTGGGCCCAACTCCTAATTCCGGCCCGTTTATCTGTCCAGGCCCAATCTCAGGATTGGCCAACGTGCCGCCCAACTGACCCAATGTCTTTCACAATCTCTGATTGGACCTTCGCGCGGCTCAAAGCTGCTTTATCGGTTCTGCTGCCTTGAGACTTGACCGTCTGTTCGGTTCCTTCGCCTGGGCCTATTTATAAGCCCCCCAACCTTGATTTTGTTCCATCGCCCAATATTTTCCCTTTCTTCATTATTGCCATGTCTGAAGGAATTCCTGTTTCTCTGAACCTTTCCGACGGGCCGGCTCCTTCTTCGCCGGAGCCTGTCTCCTCCCCCAGGTCAGTCAATTCTAATGACTGGGGGGCTAGACCCTTACGAATTTTGCCGCCGGTTGCCCCGCCGACAGTGGCCGTCGGTAAAACCGCCGCCACTACCACCAAACCCTTATGAAGACTTCAGTGAGGTGTACAAGGCCCTCTCCGCCAATCGCCTGCCTAACGGGCAGATTGATTGGGATGCTCCATGCCCCCTCCATTCCCTGCAATGCATGGCCTGAGAGCTTTCATGATGAGCACTTACCCCTCCTGGAGCATGAGTGCGCATACTATGCAAGTCTTGAACAATGGACTAGCGAAAGTCGCACCAACTCGCCGGTAAGGCCTAAGAATGAGGTTGTGTTGGGGGAAGAACTGGGTTCCAGCCCACCTCGCCCCACCGACCGCTCAACTCCCCGGAAAACCCGTAGGCAACCTGGAGTAGCTCGATTGGCTTCAGGATCTCCATCCTCATCTAGGTGATGCGGCTTCAGGATCTCCATCCTCATCTAGGTGATGCTGGTTGGGGTTCTGGAAGAAGTGAGCCGCCCTCCGTCCTTCCTTGATATTTGAAGGACGGTGGGTTTTTGCCGAGGTTGGGGGCGACCGATCCTGTTCCATGTTGGGGAGGAATGGTGGTCGTCCTGGACGGCCGGTGATCGGAGTTCCGCTGGCCTATGCAGCTGCAGAACTACCCTTCAAACCTGCCTGTCCCCCCTAGGCCTTTTGCTCGCAAAGTTTTAGATTGTTCTTTTTCATTGTAAGAAAAGTATGGAAAGGTATCCCTCCTTTTGAGGATATAGAGACTGTTTTCAACTGTATTGTAGTGGATGCAAGAGATTATCCTTGAAATGTAATGAACATCTTCATGAATGTATTTTGATGTCACCTGTTTACTTACAAGTTCAATCTTCTTCTCTTCCGCATCTCATTTTAAGCGTTCAGGTTTCCTCAGACCCTGATCAGAGAATACCTCGCCTCTTTTGACTTAGCCATTTCCGGGTAACTTTACCCTCATGGCGTCGCCATTGACCCCTGGTCGCTCCTGCGATCAGCAGATCTTTTGTTCCAGACTTAGCCGTTTTCTCGGGCTTTCTTGCCACGGCGTCGTCCTCCGATTAGTCGCGTCACCGGACAACCCTCCACCTTGGTCGCTTGTCAGGGTTCGGCGCTTCACCCAACATTGGGTATCTTAGCACGAATCACCATGACGTTTAGGCTTAGCGATCTCTTGTGGTCGCTTCCTTTTTTTTCTTCTTTCCTTTGAGAATTGAAGACAAGATGTGCCAGAAAACTGGTTTTATTAAACTTCAAGAAAGAGACATGGCTGGAATACAATCTATTGATAAAATTTGATAAGGTTGGCGGCATTCTATACTCGCGGAACGTCGCCACCGCCTGGAGTCTGCAATCTAAATGTCCCATCAGCCAACACCTCCTTTATGATATATGGCCCCTCGAAGCTTTTAGCAAACTTCCCTCCATCGGTCAGCTGACTGACCTCCCTCTTTTGAAGGACCCAGTCGCCAACCTTGAACTGCCTTGGTCGCACCCGCTAGTCGTGATATGACTTGACTTGCCGGCGGTAGTTTTCTGCCCGTATGTATGCCCTTTCTCTTCGCTCATCAGTGAGGTGCAGCTCTGCCCCCAAGTTCTCTTCATTCTCTCGAGCGTCAAACGTCTCCACTCTATAACTCAGCAACGAGGTCTCCGTTGGAGCCCTTGCTTCAAATCCATATGTGAGTGAGAAAGGAGTTTCACCTGTAGCCTTCCTTGGGGTAGTTCTGTAGGTCCACAAGATGTAGGGCAATTCCTCCACCCAGATACTTTTGCATTCCACTATTTTCTTCTTGAGACCGTCCACGATGGTACGATTGGTGTTCTCGACTTGTCCATTGGTCTGGGGGTACCCGACCGCTACATAGCTGTGCTTTATGCCCCAGCTCTGTAGAAACTCATTGAACCCTCTGGCCTCGAATTGGGTTCCATTGTCGGTGATGATCTGCTGGGGCACCCCGAATCGGCACAAGATTTGCTTAGAAACGAACTTCGTCATCTGTTCTACAGTGATGGTCGGCACGGGAGCGGCCCCGACCCACTTGGTAAAGTAATCAATCGCGACCACCAGGTATGTGTTGTTCCCTGTCCCTCTAGGCAAAATGCCAACTAGATCAATGCCCCACCGGGCAAAAGGAATCGCCGTACTGATCGGGGTATAATTCGTCGCCGGTCGCCCCGGCACCCTCTGGAACGCCTGGCAGACCTTGCATTTGCGCACATACTCTGCACAATCTCTAATAATCGTTGGCCAGAAGTATCCTTGTAGGGTTACTTTCCTGGACATCGTGAAGGCTCCCTGATGTGCTGAGCATATTCCTTCATGGATTTCCTCCATTAACTTCTGTGCTCTGCCCGCTCTTAAGCACCTTAGCAATGTACCATTGTACGACCGTTTGTATAATCGACCGCACTCCAATGTGTAACTGGGTGCACGCCGCTTTACCACTTTCGCCGTGATTGGGTCGGTAGGTAGCGACCCATCAAGGAGGTACATAGTAATCTCATCAATCCAGTCCGCTGGCTCCTTGTGTGTGATGACCAATACTCGTCCGAGACTGATGCTTGGTTCGAGTAATTCCTCTTCCTGGGTCATTGCCTTGATATGATCTGGAGAATCCGGGCCCAGCTTTGACAAGATGTCCGCCTCAGCATTCTCTTCTCAAGGTACCTGCTCTATCCGGTACGCTCCAAATGCTTTGAGCAATTCCAGGGCGATGTCTCTATACTTCTTCATTCGCTCATCCTTGGCCTCAAACTCTCCAGTGACATGACCTACTATTAGCTTGGAGTCGCACCGGACTTGAATTCGTTCAGCTTTTAATGAAGCTGCTAGCCTCAAACCGCAAAGCAGAGCCTCGTATTCAGCCTCATTGTTTGAGACTTTGAACCGGAATCTAACGGAGTAATATGCTTTGAACCCTTCCGGTGATATCGCCACGACACCTCCCCCGGAAGCATCAGTCGCGGACGAACCATCGGTGTATACCGTCCACCAGCTCCCTTCGGGTTCTCCTCCACTAGACTCCACCTCTCTTGCTGTGCACTCTACCACGAAATCGGCTAACGCCTGCTCCTTTATCACCGGTCGTGGCTTAAACTCTATCTGAAAAGATCCCAGGAACACCCCCCACTTGCTGACCCGTGATGGGGCATTCGGACTTCGAAGAAGTGTTCCGATGGGAATTTGTGATAATACATGGACCGGGTGGGCTTGAAAATATGGGGTGAGCTTTTTCACCGTACATACCACCGCAAAGATGGTTTTCTCCATGTTGGTGTACCTTTGCTCCGCCCCTCGCAACACCCGGGCCACATAGTACACAGGTCGCTGTACGCCCTCCTCCTCAAGCACCGAGCTCACAGCTCGAGGAGAGATTCCTAAGTACAGAAATAGGATCTCTCCGGGCTCTGGCTACGAAAGTACCAGTGGGGAGAGGAGGTATGCTTTCAACCCTTCAAAGGACCGTTGACATTCTTCTGTCCACACAAACCCTCTGCTCTTCTTAATGGTCTGAAAGAAAGGAGCCGCCCGATCAGCTATCTTTGACAAGAAGCGACTGAGAGCAGCAATCCTGCCGGTCAGCTGCTGGACCTCCTTCACATTCCTCGGAGGTTCCATCTCTAAGATTGCTTTTACTTTCTCCGGATTAGGCTCAATTCCTCTCCGGCTGACCATGTGTCCTAGGAACTTGCCCCCTTGAACCCCAAATGTACATTTCTTAGGGTTAAGGCGAAGCTGGAACTTCTTCATGATCTTGAACACTCTCTCCAGGTCGCCGGCATGGGACTCCATCCGTTTGGACTTGACGATCATGTCGTCCACATACGCTTCCATGCATCCCCCTAGCACTGGCGCGAACAACTTGTTCACCATCCGTGCATAAGTCGCCCCAGCATTTTTCAAGCCAAAAGGCATCACCTTGTAACAATATACCCCATTGGGGGTGATGAAAGCGGTCTTCTCTTCATCCGCCACAGCCATCTTGATCTGGTGGTACCCACTGAATGCGTCCATAAAGCTCATCAGCTCACACCCGGCCGTCTCATCAACCAACTGATCAATGTTGGGGAGAGGGAAAGGATCCATCGGGCAGGCTTTATTTAGATCAGTGTAATCGACGCACATCCGCCAGGTACTCCCTTTGGGTGCGAGGACTACATTGGCCAACCATTCCGGGTATCAAACCTCCCGGATGTGCCCAATGGATTGTAGGGTCGTCACCTGCTTGGTGACAAACTCTCTCCATTCTGAGGAAAGGAAACGCTTCTACTGTTTGATTAGCCTGTGGGTTGGATCCACTGCCAATCTATGGCAGATGATCTTTGGGTCGACCCCTGGCATATCCTCTGGTCCCCAAGCGAATAGCACTTTGAATGCTCGGAGGACCTCCAATAATTGCTCCTTTAATTCAAGCGGTAAGGTTCTACCTACCTTCACCTTCCGCTCTGGTTCGTCCAGGTCCAAAGAAACTTCCTCGACCTCCTCCGCCGGCTCAGCTCGTGGTCGCCCTTCCTCCTTCTGGATTGCGGCACAAATCGTACTCACATTCTCGTCGACCCGGGCTTGGCTCTTGGTCGCCCTAACGTAGCACGACCGTGACAGGCTTTGGTTTCCCTTTGCTATCCCCACCCCTGTGGGAGTGTTGAACTTTAGGCATAAGTGGACGGGGGAGATTACGCACTCCAGGTCCTCCAACCCTGGTTGTCCCAGAATCAAATGGTGTGCACAGTCGAGCTGCACTACCATAAATTCCATGTCGACCCAGAGTCGGTGGGTGCCATCTCCTACCCCGGCCTTCACCGTGATAGTGCCTTCAGCTTCGATTGTATCCCCCGTGAACCCTAATAGCGGCGTATGGATTGGTTTTAGGTCGCTTCGGGACAACCCCAACTCCTTAAAGGTGTTGCTGTACATAACGTTGACCGAGCTGCCCGTATCGACCAAAGTTCGGTGAACAACCACATTATTGATCTCTACCTTTATCACCAGAGCGTCCCTGTGAGGGCTAAGGACTGGGGGATAATCCTCGTCTGTAAAGATCAGAGGTTCCTTCTTCTTCCGCTTAGGCAACGACGGTCTTTGTACCTCGGCCAGGTACACCATGTTCTTCCACTTCTTCCGGGAGGATACCGAGTCTCCTCCAGTGTTTCCTCCCATGATGAACCGACACCCCAGGTGTCGGCGACCTTGCCTCTCTTCCTCATCTAGATCGTCACATTCTCGACCTAGATGCCGCCGTCCATCTTCTTGCCCTTCTCCTTCTATGATCGCTGCCGTAGGGGCTGGCGGCCTCCTCCAGGTTCGGTTACTTGAGGATGGTCGCTCCGACCGAGGAGGCGGCCCTCTAGCGATCAGCTGATCCATCTCCTTTTTCAACGTAACACACTCCGATGTGTTATGGGTGCTGTTACAGTGGTACTCGCAGTATTTGGGTGCATCTTGCACACCATAGCTTTCCCGACTATGAGGAGGGGAAGGCAACGACTGTACCGCGTGAACAGGATGCCTGCTCACGTGATACCCGGTGGGGTTCGGCCCCTTACCATAGTCCTTCCTTTTCTTTCCTTCTGCCACCGGCGGCCCGCTTTTCTTCTCCTTCCGGACTGGTGGCTCATCATCTTCTTCTTCCAACGCCAGGTACTTCGCCCTGGCCAACATCTCTTGATAGGTCGAGAGAGGATTCCGTCGCAGCTCCTTACGCACATCCCCTTGAGGGAGTGCAGCTTGGAGCATGGCGATCAGGGCTTGATCGTCCGCCCCTTGTACGTCCCTAGCCTCCTTCTCCCACCTATTGATGAACTCCCGGAGCTGTTCCCCCTTCCGTATCTTCACATTGAGCAAATGCGAGAAGGGGAGCTTTTGTCTCCGGCTGGATGCGAAGTGCTCCAAGAACTTGTGGGCTAGGTCGCTCCACTTATCTATCGATCCCTTGGGTAACTTGTGAAACCACTCACAAGCCTGCCCTTCCAGTGTGGCCAGAAAACATCGACATTTGATTTCTTCTGGGTACGCATACATGACCACGTTTGCCCCGAAGCGAGCGAGGTGGTCCTGGGGATCAGTCGTCCCGTTGTACGCCTTGATTTGGGGAGTTTTGAAATTATCCGGGAGAGGACAAGACATTATCCTCCTAGAGAAGGGTGTTACCTCACTGAAGACCGCCTGGCGATAGGGGTTCTGGGCATCCAGCCGCTTCTCCAGTTGTTCGTACATTCTCCACAGCTCGGCCGCGCCCTTGTCCCCGACCACCGTCTGTCGCTCCTCAGGACCAGTCTTGGAAGTCGTTGTGGATTCCCTTCTTTTTTCCTTGAGCGTGTCCCTCAAGTCGCCCTTTCGGGCCGACCGAGTGTCTTGCAACCGTTCGAACGCAGAGGTCCGAAGTTTCTTTGATTTGGGATCCCCCAAACGGTCAAAAGCTGACATCCGCTCAAAGGAGGACGACTCGTCCTCTTCGTCCAGCCTGGAAAGCGCGTCCACCATCACCGCCTTCCCATTGGGCTTGGTCGCCTTCTTCTTCTGGGACTGCCTCACTTTCTTCTTTTTCCCTTGGGAGCCCGCAGGTCCGGCCTTCCCGCCTGTGGGTCCCCCAACTACATCTTCTACCACAATCTCGCGATTGGGTGTGAGTGCAGCCAGGACCTCCTTGAATTGCTCGGCTGTGATCCCAACCCTCTGGATGAGGGCCTCAGCTTCCCCCATAGTGATGGGAGGATTCCGGCCTCCAGTGGCGCTGTTCTCCCCCTGCTGGGGAACTCCGGTACCTACATTGGCGTTACTGCGTGTTTGCACCATTGTCTCTGTGGAGGATTTCCTCTGAGTATGATTCTCGAACTCTCAACGAGTGCACCAATTTGATGGACAGTAAATCCACCAAATGATCCGATTCACAAAGCGGATCGTAAGAACAAAATTAAGAAAGAGAATTCGAGAATTGGGTATGTATTATTAGCTTGATTTAGCTTGAGTTTTCCCTTTCGGGTCTCCACTATTTATACATGAGCACTCAGCAATTTAGGTAATGCATTATCGATGCAATCTATCCCGCCAATGGCGCGATCCCTTTTTTCCGGCTTCGTAACGGCCAATCTGCTCCGTCTCCTTCTCCCGATTGACTCTGCCAGCTGCGCTTGGTTTGAGGTTAACTAGGCCCAGCTCCACAGGCCGGCCAAGCTTGGGCATTTCACAGTTGGCCCGATGCTGTATAAGTGGTTCATTTGGGCCGCCCCCTGGATATCGGCCCATCAAAGGCACACTATCATCTCCCCCATTACTGACATAATACCAAATGTGAGTCACTTTTCAACTCTTCATACATAACCAAGTTTCACTTTGTAGGTCTCAATTATAAAATTTGATCCTTATGCTTGAGTGCACAACACCTAAATTATACGGAGTATCTAAATTGCACGGTAGAGTAAAAACTTTATTGAAAGAAAGAATGTATGGGGGTTTAATGTTTCATTTTTATATACCCAAAGCAAAATAATTGTCAAAAATGGCTCTTTTAACTTCATTGGCCATGGGAATAAAAGTAGCAATACAATTTTCTTTTTTTGCCCCCAAAAAAATATGCTACCAATTAACAAATGAGAATAATGATTACAGCCATTATGAGAGTCCTAGAAACTTTCATCCAATATTTAGTTCTAGATTACCCTATATAAAGTACTTATATATCTAACTTAACGAATTTACGCAATGTTTGGTTCGTGGAAATAGAAGGAAAAGAAAAGAAACTTCTTTTCTCTCCTTTCCCCACTAAAAATGGAAGGAATGTTGTTTTTCATCTTCCTAGTTCAGTTCTTCTCCCATTTTATTTTCCTTTCATTTTTCCTTTCTTTTCCAATTTCCATCCCATTTTCTTTTCTTTTCCTTCTCAAATTCTTTAAACCAAAAATAATGTAAATACACCAACAAACCATAATATTAAAAGGAATCAGATATTCAAATCAAGGACTTTAGATAATTGTGAAACAGAAATGATTCGTAAATTCAAAATTAAAACACAACTCTGTTTTTTTAAATTGAGTTTTAAAAAATGTTCTTGAGATGAATTAATTTAGCAATCTACTGTCATAAGATAAACAAAAGCAAAGCTTGACACATACACCACCCTTGTGTATGACCTTTGATGACTGTTCATCCTTCCTTGTTGTCCAACGATGCCGTCCATAGCTGAAGTTCATATATAGCCCAAGTCACCGTCACCTGCCACTTTCTTCCATGTTCCTGTTAGTGTGTTGCCAAATCAAAGGTCTAGAACTCAATTTTGATTCTACTTTTATCTACAGAGTATAATAAATAGATGTTGATTAAAAATCAATGCACCATCATTAATTCTTAAAAAGTAAAGAGAAACAAAATAGGACAAAATGAAGAAACTCAACAGAACATCTTGGCTTATCCTATTTCATTGATATCTTTGATTGTCTTCCAAAAACATTTAAAACCATTGCATCTATCCTACCAAGAATCAAGGAACAGAATTTTTCCTAGATTAAACAATAAAAAAATTACACAAAGCATAATTTTTTACTTTTTATTTTTAAAATCTGCCCTCAAATGGAAGAATTGGATCAATACAAAATAAATATAGCAACAATTGGCACACAATTAGACAGATAGAACACCTTCCGTACATATAAAAAATTACGTAAAATAGAAAAAAATAGGCTGTTACCCTCGTTAGATGTATTGAGGTCGAAACCCTAGCCCGGCATTGCAGTCTGTCTTCTCTGCATCGTTAGCCCCTCTCTCTGTGTCATCTCTCCCCTCTGGTGCAAGGAATCTGCCCTACGCATTGCACGGCTGAGACCGTAGCTCTTCATGGATTTGACGGAGGCGGTCGCCAGAGCGTTATGCCCTCGAAGTACTCGTAGCGTTTGGATTTCACACCAGTAATCTCAAGTGTGCCGTCCTCTGTGTAATGCCGCTTCATGATCCAGGACACTCTGGAGAAGGGAGAGTTTTCCATCCTCGCACACTTCATCGAGGGAGAGTCAGATCGCGTCTACCAGCGGTGGGATATAGAGATGGAAATCGGAAATGTTTTCGTAAAAGAATTGCCATCTAATTTGGACAGCTTCCTAACAGACGGTCAGATTTTGCCAATTGCAAATAAAATTGGACCATTGGATTGGAAAGAAAATTGGATGGAGATTTCTTATCAATTTTTATATATATACTCCCTCCGTCCCAGAAAGAATGTCACAGTTACTATTCTGGCCTCTCAATAACTTTTGTTTGTCTACTTGTTTTAGTTGACCATTTGATAAAATAAAATATTTTTGTCGCACCTTGTTTTGTAGAACTTTTCATATACTTTTGAATAGTGTAATTTTTACTTTTTATTACTCTACCAATTTGAAATTAAAGTGATTTTAAAAGAGATGATATTTTGCACGTTGTTCGAAGTGTTGCAAATAAATTGGGACGGAGGAAGTAGTAGATATCTCAAATATTATTTTATCTAATCAATATACAATATATATTTTATTTAATTAAAGGTCAAAACTTGAAAACAATTGAATGAAAAAAGTCAAAACTGGACAAGTACTCACAAACGGAGGTAGTATAAATATGGATATTACTCCGTAGTAGCTAAGGTGTTAAATTCAACACTTTGAAAAGTCCAATTAGGATATGAAATTCAGCCGGAGAGAGAGTGTGTGTATGTATATATGTATGTATGTAGAGCGGTAAACGGATAGCCGAAAATTCGATTACCGTCCGTATTCGTTTAAAGATGAAATATCTGCATCCGTTTTAAACGGATATTATCCGTATCCGATTACTAAACGGATATGGATTTGGTAATTGTATATCCGATATGTTTAAAATCCGATCCGAATATGCATTCGTTTAGATAATCGTTTATCCAAATATCCGATCCGTTATATATAGTTGTTCCTATTTTTATGTTTATATTTTGTTTCTCTATTGATATTTCAGATTATCAAAAAAAATTTATATATAAAATAAATGTGTAGACACATAAAAATATGTGCAGACTCCTAGAAGCTTCGTTGAGGAATTTCATCAAACACATAGCATGCAGTCTAGATGCCAAAATCAATTTCTTTTTTTTCAACTACAAAATTAGATAGCCCATTAAGTAGAGAATCAAATATAAGAAGAAAAAGAGAATGGAGTAGAAGACATGTAACTGGTGGTCTTGCTAGGCCAAGTCTTTCTCGTGAGAATCTATCGCCAACATACCTAGCCACAACCTCGAGTTCGTCCTCCACTGAGTTCGGACAGCCGTTAACATACCTTCACTATCTTTGGTGGATAGGTCGAAGAAGGCCTTGTTTTGGATATTAGTTGTTGGAGTGTTGGTATCGCAACGGTTGTGAATGAAGGTTTAGTTCAGCTGATTTATTCGCTAGGATGAATTGATTGATTGTTAAAAAATGTTTGGTAAAAGTAGCTGTTTGAAAATAGGTTTTCATACACACACACACACACACAATATTTATTTTTTATTTTTTACATGTAAAAATTAAATCTTTACTACATGGAGCATTAAATTTTACTTTCATCTAATTCATAAGAAATTATTAATATACTATGTACTACTTTTTAATGATTTATACTTTTTATTTTCTCATTTCATTTTTTTAACTTTTAAATTTTTAAATTTTATTTTTTTCAGTATTTAATTTTTTTAAATTTTATTTTTATTTTTAGTTTTTACATACGTAGTATATTATAAAATATCTTTCAAGAAAAATGACTTTAAAAATTAATTTTCCTAACAGCCATGTCCAAATGCTACTCTCATTGGTATTTCGGCTTTTGGCTTTTCGGATCAAAATGCCTAGTGAAAAAGCTATTAGCCAAAAAACGATTTTGATTGTTCGCTCAGTCAAAAAAGCTAAAGTCAGTCAAATATATCAAAAGCTATTCGAAAAGTTGTTTTCCAAACAGGGCCGAAGATACGCTGGTGGGGATCTCTATGGTGAAGGCGTGAAGCTTTCCAAATATGCTGGTGGAGAAGCGTACTTGATACGTTGGTCCAAATTGTTCTTTGCAGTTTACTTTCTACACTAATGGGCTTCATAATCATAATTTACAATGAGCCCATTAAACAGTGAAGGTTAGAAGTACTGTTCATTTTCGGCTCTCATCATTCTATATATAGAGACAGAGATATATATGGAGCACGTACTTCCCAAAATATCATAAAAGTACTTCCCCTTCTAAATTATGGACTATTACTTCTTAGCCATTTTTAGTCGAACTTGACAAATTTTGACCTAACTTTGCAAGGTAAAGTCTTTAGTTATTAATTAAATTTCATTAGGCTAATTTGATAGCAAAGTATTGAAATAATTATACCATGCTTCTATGATATATATTTTTATTGTCCAAAACAGTGCATTAGCATTGAAATTTGAAAGTGGTGTTTTTTAATATAGAAAGTGGTGTATTTAAATTTACAAAAGCCGCTCTTTTTTACTCCTATCCTCTCAATTTAAACTGTTTGTTTTAGTTTACGATGTTTGACCAAAATTAATTTAAATTTAATCTATATGAGTTGTTTTGTGGAACTAAAAGAATTACATATTTAAAAATTATATCAAATGCGGGTAAATTTTACGTATAGTACCTGAACTTTTAACTATTTTTCGTTTTGGTACCTAAACTTCATTTTGTTTCACAAATAGTTCTTGGAGCCGGTTTTCAGATAACTATCATGTCATTTGGTCAAATTACAATTTTATATATTTTTAAATCTTCAGTTTGACTCCATTTCTTTTTTCTTATTCCCCCATCCCCCTCCCACTCCCTTCCCTTTCTTCTTCTTTCACACCTTTTTTTCTTCTTCCTTCACCCATTTTTTCTCTTCTTCTTCATTAAACCCTCCTCCACTCACAACAACCCACCCCTCCCTCCTTGTTTAACTCCACCCCCTTCTTAGGGGTGTTCCATCGGGTCAAACCCAGACCGGACATGCACCGAATTGGGACAGAATAAGGGGCATTTGGTGGACCGAGGACCGGACCGATTAAGCTAAAGACCGGTAAAACCCGGACCGGACTGAATAAATAATATTTTTAATTTTTTTAAATTGATTTTATTTATTTAATTTAAAGTATTCAATTGAATAAAAATATTACTACAACTAATTTGTATTTGTAACATATACTCCCCCCGTTTCTGAAAACCCTTCCTCTTTCATTTTTTTTTGTTTTTCTTAAAAAACTTTCCCTTTCTATTAAAAAACCACTTTTACCCCTACTTTTTCATACCCTACCTATCACATCATATTTTTTCACTAACAACTAAACTATCACATCTTACTTTTTACCCATCACATCAAGGGTAAAATTGGAAAGTCAACTACAATTTAACACTTCCTTATTTTCCCCAAAAGTCAAAAGAGGAACTCTTTTGAGAAACAGAGGTAGTACTAAACATTGTCAAACACAGTTGTTTTGAATTTTCTAAAACACTTTACATAAAAAATATATCTTCCATCCGTATTACATAAAATTTTTTGTGATTTTGATTTTACATAAGGAATATTCTTCTTCTTAGTGTATTTTTTCTTTTTGTGATATTCTTTTGAGTTTTCGATTTATTGTGACAAACAGATACATTTGTTACTATTTATGTTCGTGAGATTGTTTACAATGTTTGTTTTTTTGGATTAGAGTTTCATTATATATAAAGTACAAATTTAAGTTATAGTATTGGTACATAAGTTTGAAATGCATTAAATCGCGAATATAAAGATAATGTTTACTTTTTCACACTTTTCATATTAAAAATATTTAAAAATCATTAGAATTGGTATCTTATTTTAATTGAAAACGTATTTAAAGAATTATATTAAATAACCAAATCAAAACATTTTAAAAAAAATTTAGTATGAAAGTTAAATTAATTTTAAATATAAGAAAAAATCCTAAAAATACAATATTATAAAAATATATAGAAAAAAAATATTTAAAAAAATAAAATGTAACCGATCCACCGGTCTGGACCGAAACCCGGTGGACCAGACTAGACCGGAACTCGAACAAGGAAAAAATGAGGACCGAAGCCCAGACCGAATAAGGACCGGTCCTGTCTGATTTTGGCCGGATTTCGGGTCAGTCCGGCCGGACCAAATAATGCACACCCCTACCCCTTCTTGAGTCCCATCTTTTTTTTTTCTAGTTTTAACTTCCTATTTAAGTTTTCTTTTTGTTTTTGAACTTTTTGTTGAATAACATTTTTAAATTTTTTTCAATTTTTTTCCCGTGTTTTTATTTTTTTTTTCAATTTTTTTATTTTTTTATTTGTAAATTTGTTTTTATGTTTTTTTCTCGATGTTTTAATTTTATTTATTTGTTTGTTTACGAATTTTTACTAACTTTTTTATTACTTTTTCTATCTTTCTATAAACAAATGTCTAATTTTTTGATTTTTTTTTTGTTATTGTTTTTGTTTGACTTATTTTTTTCGATCTTTGTTGTAAAGAATTAAATAACATCAGGCCATGACAAATAAAAAAGAAGGACTTGAAACAATAACCGTAATACTAAAAAAGTTACTAATTAATATTTTGTTTTTGTTTTCAATCTTTTGTGTAAACAAATGTCTTATCTCTTTTGTTTGGCATTATATATATATATATATATATATATATATATATATATATATATATATATATATATATATATATATATATATATATATAATTAAAAAAGAGCTGAAATACAAAGACGGGGGGACTAGGCCAAAACCCCGAGCAAAAAACGAAGAACAAGAAATGAGGAACATGTATCAAACTAATATCTATGACCTTTGTTCCAGCATTCCGAGAGACCCTGTAACGTCCCGAAACCTGGCCCAAAAGAATTAATTAAATTGTTAGAGCAATTGATTACGAATTGGGCCCAATAAGGGGTAAAAATTATAATTTGGATTTTAAGCCCAACTTTTATGTCATCTCGTAGGAAATATTTTTGTGATCGCGTCGGTTCAGACGGTTCGCGAATCGGAGTTATGGAACTCAAGTTATGACCATTTAATCAGGTATTTTGGGTCCGAAGCCCAATCCTTTTTGGAATGGGACCATTAAATAAACCTAAACCACCCAAACCTTATCCTTCTTCGTCCGTTCCTTTTTCTTCTTCCTTCTCCTTCTTCTTCTTCCTTCTTCTTCTCCTTCTTCTTCTCCTTCTTCTTCTTTCTTCTTCGTCTTTCCCGGCCAACCTCGCCGCCGGAAGCCGCCGCCCAGCCGGTCGCGCAAGCCAGACCGTCGTCGCCCGTCGCCGGAAGCCAGCCGCTGCCTCCTTCGCCTCCAGCCGCCGTCGCTCACCGCCGACGGGTGCAGCG